TTACAGCCACATTCGGACAAATATTGTACAAATGTTATTCCCTATTTTATGGTACGATGTGGTCTGTTTGATTGGTATATAAACTCAGTATGTTTGAAATAAATGATTCATATTGCAGAGGCTATTATTGGTGCTGTGGACTTAACTGACTGGGCTATGCGGAAACAGGACCGATAATTGTTTTAGACTTCTCGTTTGGTTTTCGTGTATAACTGGTCCGATTGATAAATCACTACTGCCTAATTGGCGGTATCGTCACGTCATATATTAACTGGGCACTCAAACACAAGTTATAACAGATGGGAACTATTTATAAACTATTATTATATATATTTCTATTAGATAATTATTCAGTAACTATTACTTACTTCCTTACTTAAGCCTGTTACTCCCAATGGAGCATAGGCCATCGACCAACCCACTCTGTCCTGGGCCTTCTTTTTTTTAGTTCTATCCAATTCTTGTTCATTCTTCTCATGTCCGTCTCTATTTCTCGGCGTAATGTGTTCTTTGGTCTTCCTCTTCTCGTTTGGCCTTCAGGATTCCTTGTGAGGGCTTGTCTTGTGACGCGATTGGGCGATTTCCTCAAAGTGTGCCCAATCCACTTCCTGATTTCGTTCTCCAATGGGATCCGGTTTGTTCTCTTCCACAGTAGAATGTTTCTGATAGTGCCTGGCCATCGGATCCGAAGTATCTTGCGTAACCCAGTAACTATATTAGATGTATATTTTATATTCCTTATATTACAAGCTTCCGTTTGATCTCCGGGCTACTATTATACCATTTATTATTCTTAAGTTATTTTCAATCTATTAGTTACAGTGTCTAACAATTACAGCCACTATTTGATCTTATCTTGTATGGTTGTTATTTGCCATTTTATGATGTGATAAGGTATGGTTTGATCGCAAATCTACGACGTGGGTCTGAAATATATTATATATACAGTGTAAGCTAAGATTGCATTCTAAACTCAAAGGTTAGGGTTAAGCGTAGAGGACTAATAAGGATTCAGAATTGTTGTAAGTTTTCTAATGCTGGTTAACATGTCATTAGTGTATCACAGGAATAAAGTCATATGAGTCGGTATTGTGACCGGAGATTTCGTCACGTGATAATTCACGGAGGGTTAAGGTCAACATAATCTCTTATCTCTGTGGTGTATCATATTGTTTCTAATGTTATAAGCCTTATTTCATATTTTATAATCTTCCACAAATAATGTGATTTTCACGTAATATTCTCTTGGTTTTTTGTTTTCTTCTAAACATCAGCCTCAAGTTTGTCGAGAGTGATAGGTCCTGGGTTGGAATCACGCGAGGCGGGATCATGGATGTACACTGCCACTGAGGATTCTCACATTAGGACGAAATAGCCGTACAATACTTCCAGGTTTTTCATGGTGTTCCAACTTCAATTGATTCATGATCTCAACTATTAAATGATATCAGTTATCTGCTTCTGACCTTGTTGATTATTGGAAAATGTTTATAGTATGCGATTGATAACAAGCTATCAAAAAACAGATTGATGATATGACCCTTAACAGTTATTTTTTTTAAGTATCAAGGGAATCAATGGTGTATCCTTCTGTTTAAATTGGATTGAAATATTATCTGTATATTACTGACAGATTGACCGATAGAAAAGCGACACTAAAACGATGAACAATCAGATAGATCTATTGACATGGATAATTCATGAATATAATGTGAATTATCAAGAGATTATTCAATATAAAATAATATAAAAAATAAAATAAACATTATAAACAATGATAGATAGCAGTAGAATCCAAGATACGCGTTTCGTCCTATTTCAGATTCGTCAACTGGATGTACTTGCGTCCCAGAGTTGATGTTCACTCTAGGATTTGAACCCACTATCATTCACTTAAAACACCACCGAGTTATCCATTTAGCTATTGGTTTCTGATAGCCACTTGCTTGTACAATGGAGTGAAGTTTAGATTCACTTGGAATGGTTTACGTAAATCTTCACATTGATGTTTAGGACTACTATTGATCAGTCTCTTATCGACATCGACACGCGTCCTATACGGATTGTCTCGATATTGCCTTAATTCACAAGCTTTGTAAACAAAGATGGATGGTGGCCAGCAGTGGAACTCAGTTCGTCCTATTTAGGACTCATCAGCTGGATGTACCTGCATCCTGAATTCGATCTTCACTCTGGGACTTGAACCCACTACCGTTCATTTGAAACGTCATTTTTATTGGCGTAATACATATTAAATCTAAGTTAATTGAAAACGCTGTTCATTCTCACTATGCTTATATCTATAGTCACAAAATGTGACTTAGAGTGTAGTGAACGGGAACACACAAGTGGCGATAATCAAATGCATTAAAATATAAAATTACAAAACATCTTGGTTAAATCTGAGAATCCTACAGTAAATGCTTCATTTGCAAAATGTCAATCAATTGCCTTGTGGACTTTATTGTTCCCTCGTTTCCATACCAATCATTTACTGTTTTCACTCTCTTTTCTTTGATTTTCTTATTCTTCTGATTCTAGGCGTTTTACATTCGATTTATGATACATACTACTTATATCTGTAGATATCAGTAGCACATAACAAAAGATTACATCAGTACTATTGTATTGAAAGAATCTGCTCCATTCTAATTGTTAAACTTTTTTTTCATCTTCCAAAACAACCTTAGAAACCGAATTCGAGTTACTACAGTTCCAGCATTTAAATGAAACAACAAATAGTACTTTTATACAATTGATAATAAATTTATTTATTGTTATTTAGTTTTTCTGAAGAAGCGGCCTACATTAAGTTACGAAACACAAGAAATTTAATTTTTCCACCCATTAGGGTATAACAAAAATTAAGTTTATCATTAACCTTCTACCCAATGCTTAATTTATTTGAAACTATCATGTCCGACCTTGACAATGATAACTATTTACTACAGTTATTCTCACGTTTTTAAGACATAAGTTTCAACGGTTGAATTCATGGGAAACCTGGAACTCTTCAGCACGATCCTGTATGCGGGATTCGAACACGGGAAGTGAACACTTAATCTGTAGACCACCGAAGCGGTCTGCATACAACCGTGGTAATATCTAACATTAAACAATCTACGATATTGCGCCACCGTCCAATATTGTTCTCACTAAGTAACTGATTCCAAATGGACACCGTTTGGAATCAGGGTTTTTCAACTCACTTAGTTGAACTCTTCGAGTCCACCAACCCGGTTAAAGCGCAGGGCATTCGCTTTTCGTCTTCTCAATTTCGTAAACAACACCTGTGGTGCGATAATTCAGTCAGTAGGACTTTCTTCCTCAATGTCACGTTAGATTCGTTCAAAGGTCGTCCATAAATTTAAGTCTCGCCGGTTTCAACTCATGTTTCACTTTATTTATATTCTTTGACAGATTCAATTTTTCTTATGGAACCGGATATACATGATTACACATTTCCGCAATTACTTTAAACCATGTGTATTAAACAAATGTTTGACTGTAACAGAATATATAACTGGTGATTTTATAAACCGGACCAATGGGGTCTGTTGTGAGATAGTAACTCATTGAACACAATGATGAACGGGTGCTCAATTTTGTGGACTAGTTGAAGTTAGACATAAATACCGTTGGATACCAGCCCGCTCAGTGGTCTATAGGTTAAGCTCTAGCGCGTGAAATTGATTGGTCTTGGGTTGGAATCACGCCAGACGGGATCGTTGATGCCCACTTCTGAGGAGTCCCACAAAACGAAACGGCCTTCCAGCGCTTCGAGGTTTTCCTTGGTGGTCTAACTTCAACTGACTCATGATCTCAACAATAAAAATCACTAAAATCTCGACAAAATCCCCTGCTAAAAACCTTATCGTTTTCTTTTTTTTCAATCAGCTCTGAAATAAAACGATTAACGAAAGGGGAGATTTTCAATTTTCAACCATCATGAGTTAATATCAACGATACATTTTCATATTAGAAATCGAACTTCAGTACCAATTAAGACAGTACACTAAACCATTATAGTGAATAAGGAAAAGAAAATTCATTGATTATAGTTTCCTTACTGGTAGTCAAGGTTTTTTAACTCCCCTAGGTATAATTTCCGTGTCCATAGACCCGGTTAAAGCGCCAGACATTCTCTTTTCGTCCTCTCAATTTTGTAAACAACGCCTGATCATCAGAAGTCAGTGTGTAGGACTGTGGTGGCGGTTGATATGTCAAACCCATATACCATACTATAGCTTCTGGACAAGCCAATTCACCTGTCCATCGTGAGTCATGTTTTCCCTTTGTTAATTATTCACTTATCAACTCTGACCATTTTTGTACGAGCGTAGGTGTGTGTACACTTTCTTATCTTATTTATCACACGTCTGTCACTTATTCTTGTCTGGCTATAAATATTGATTAACGTTTGCTTAAGGAGAGTTGCCTTTCCCGCCATAACCAATACGTGTCATTTTCACTTCGCTCGCTGGTACTTGCTAATGTGCTTATATCTTTCTGGTCTGCGTCATTTATCAATAAAACTGTGATTGCCGCTTCTCTTTGCCTCCTGATACTATGGACCGTTAAGACTTGTATTCTAGCGGTTATCGAGGTGAATTATTAACGAAGCACGGCACTACAGGACTTCCTTTCTCAAGGTCATGTAAGATTCGTTCGAAGATCGTCCATAAATTATAGTCTCGTCAATTTCAACACATGTAACAGTTTATATATATTCTTTGAGAGATTCAATTTTCCTTGTGGATAATAATAATAATAATCTGTGAAATCTTATTGGTTGATTACTAACAACCAATCAAATAATTCCTTCTTTCATAAATCACTTTCAATTTTTTTTGTACCAAATTTAATTATAATGATCTTTTATTACATAATATATATGTAGCCATAGTAACTAGTTGTCTTTTTTTTAAATATTTGAATACATTACAAAAAGATCAGATAATCAAATCAGATCAAGATCAACCCCTTAATCCTAAATCATAATGAAGTGGATATATTATATATACAGTTTACTTATGAATTATTTGTTACCTATTCACAGTATTATCTATCATGAAGGAATCATGGAGAAGAATGTAGATATGACAGTTCATAATGAAGGAGTTCAAAGTTATGTCGATGATTCTAATATGAATCCTAATGCAGATGAACCTAATTTATCCACATCATTTATTGTACCTATTATGACAGATGAACAAAGATTATTATCAAAAATATTAAATGGATATGATACAGCATCTAGACCAATATTTAATGCATCTAAAAGTGTACAAGTTGGATTTCAATTTACATTAATACAAATTAGTCAATTAGTAAGTTTAAGTTAAAAACTATATATACAATAATGGTTTCAACAGATAAGTTGAGATCATAAGTCAATTGAAGATAGACCACCATGAAAAACCTAAAAACACTAGACGGCCGGCAGTAACTAGTGGGGTTTAACCGGGTCTATTGTGAGATAGGAACTCATTATTGACAATGGTGTATGTGTCGCTCAATTTTGTGGATTAGTTAAAGTTAGAAATTAACACTTTCAGATGCCAGCCGGCACAATGTTCTAGAGGTTAAGCGTTTCCATACGAACCCGTTAGGTCCTGGGTTGGAATCTCGTGAGGAGGGATAGTGGATGTACACTGCTGAAGAGTCCAGGTTTTTCATGATGGTATGGCTTCAAATGACACATGATCTCAACTATACAAATTACCTTTTTTTGTTTTACCATTGTCACTAATGCTCATAAATTATAATCAATCATAGTTTAAAACGAGTTCTGATGATTTAGGTTTGACAGATTCTTTCTAAGACCGTTTATATCACTTTAGATTATATTTGAAATCACTTAATAATCCATAAGAGAAAATTAGAAATCTTGTAGACATGCTCAGTTTATTTTCTGTTATTGGTTTGTGATTATTTTTAAACTTTGCCTATTGAATTATCATAGACCTATCTATTATGAATGTACATAGATGATCATGATTGATTTTTAATAATAATCTTCTTTGATAACATTCAATAATGTAGGTCGTTAATGTTGAATAAGTCAGCATAACACTATAACCGTAAAAAGGATTTTGTGGATAATATAATATTAGTATTAGTTGAATTCATCAGTCATTTCAAGCTAGACTACCATAGAAAACCTGGAAGTATTGGACAGCCGCTTCATCCTAGTATAGGACTCCTCAACAGTGTATATCTACGATCCTACTCACGAGAAATGTGGGCAAGATATAACCAAGATAATGTAATTGAAAGATTATAATACTAGATTACATACTTACTTACTTACTCATTTACACCTGTTACTCCTAACGGAACATAAGCCGCCGACCGGCATTCTCCAACCCACTCTGTCTTCGGTCTTCCTTTCTAGTTCTATCCAATTTTTATTCATTCTTCTCATGTCCGTCTCGATTTTTCGGCGTAATGTGTTCTTTTGTATTAGTCTTTGTCATGAATTTAAAAAAAGGCCGTATGTCAATTGGTTGAAGTCTTATGTCCGGCTTTTTATCATGTGATTTACTCGTCAATCGAAATACGACTTTCTCAATCTTAGCACTGTATCAAAACAATGACGTTCGACCGGTATAAACAGTCTAGCATCCTTATTGGTCCCTTGTCCGCCTAACCCTTCCAACTGAGTCCAAAAAAACACCAATTACATCTCATGCTATGAGAATCATTTATTTCAATCATACTTAGTTTATATACCAGACAGACAGACTGCATCACACCATAAAGTGGAAAATAATATTTGTACAAGCTCAAGACAGATGGGGCTGTGAACGTGGGAGACAATAATCGATAAACTGAGTATAATTTAAGGACAGTAATTCGTATAATACCAATCCATAGGTCAAAATGAAGCTTATAATAAGATGAATATGGATATACACAATCTAATTACTCAATAGTTAAACCATAAGAATATATATATAGAATAATCGTCCATTAATAGGTCCCAGGAGAGTTACCTGTACTCATTTCTTCGCTAGGATATAGCGCTCTTTCCTTTTGGCCTAACTAGATTACGTAATATGAATAAAGACAATACACTTAATAAGTTAGTAATGAATTATAATTTGAATGTAGTAAGATGATTAGAATGTTTTTGTTTATAATAATTATAGGTTAATAAAGGTAATTAAAGGTTACCTACAATTATTGGTTATTCCTTGTTTATATTTCTTCAGGGAATTAGTAGTTACCGACACATTGGAATTGTATATAAGTTAAGATTTATCAGATTATAAATAAAAATACATAGTAGCTAACAGAGGAATCCAATTTGACGCGCGTTTCGTCCTATTTAAAACTCATCAGCTGGATATCATTTATTCGCTTGATTTGAAGAAATATTAAAAAGATTATAAAATTCGTTTCATCTTAATACAATAACAATGGTAAGATGGTGGTTGGAGGTAGATGACAGGATTTCCCGTTGACTACCTACAATCACCATCTTATCTCAACATAGTGCACACAATGTTGACTCATCTAGACTAATGACCACATTGTAACTTGATCGATAGGATTGGATCTGCACTAAGAAAGATCTGACATACATAACATTGATCACCATCCAGTTATCAATCAATCTCAATAACAATGGTATTCCATTATAGAACACAATGATTCACCAAACTGTTTGTTATTATCGTATATATACATAAAGGATTGTATAGCTTTTCTAAAATAAAATTGCTGAATTAATTTTTTTTGTTAGTCAATTAGTATTTCGAGATAGTGGAGAAGATTTATATCTCAGGTGGATGATTTTGATGAAGTTTTGTTCTCTGATCTGGAAGGTTTAATCGTGGAGCTTTCATCGTTCTTCTGAACGACATCATCAGCACAAACTTCGGGTAGAAAGTCAACAAGGACTAATCAACGTCGAGGTGTACAGGACAAGCTGTGAACCACATGTGGAGAAATTTGAACATTTCACTTCAACTTGAAGTTTGTGCTGATGATGTCGTTCAGAATAACTATGGAAGCTCTACGACTAAACTATCTAGCTCAGAGAACAAAACTCCATCAATGAGTATTTCATTATGTAGACAAGTCCTTTAAAGAAAACTTGGAAAAGGTTTAAAAATATAAAACATAATTAATACTCATTCTAAACACTATATAGAGATGATTACTTCATTAAACGAAGCTCACAAAAGGTTGCTAAGTAGACAGTTATAACTAATTAAAATGTTGACTGGGTTTTTGAATATACGTTGGGGGATAGAATTGTCGAAACTTAGTAACATTGGTTCATTTGGAATGTACCCTTTAAATTCACTTGATATTATGTACTTGTATCTTATCATTGTTGTTAAGGGTTTCAATATCGTGAAATTCCGCATAGGATGCACATATGCCAACAAGAAACTGATCAGATGCAGTCCTTAACATCAATGTGAAGATACAAGGAAATAATACCAAGTGAATTTAAAATTCACTCAATTGTACAAGCAAGTGGGTAACAGGACTTAGTAGGCAAGCGGATGATGCGATGGTGCTTGAAGCGAACAGTAGTGAGTTTAAGTCTCGGGGTAGACATCAACTCAGACGCAATGACATCCAGCTGTAGAGTACCAAATAGGACGAAACGCACGTCTTGGATTCCATTGATAACTACCATCCATCTTTGCTGATTAATACACCCTTTAGTTTCATTTTATTGACTACTATTTACTTTCTAATTAATTGATTTAAACACATCAATATTGGTACAACAATATATGCGCCACACAGGAAAATTGTCCTTTCATTTTAATTGTGTGAGGGCTATGATGCTACCCAGGTGCCCAAACCGAAGCTGGGAGCCGCACCCGGAGCCTTTGACATAAAGATCTGATCCACAAAGCAATGGAGCATCGTGAGGAGATGCAGTTCCATGGTAGCCGGTGACCAACGATTGATTCATAAAACATTTGTTCCCTCAGGAGCTCATATGCAGCGTTGTTTGGAATCAGGGTTTTCCAACTCCCCTAGGTGGACTCGCCGTGTCCACCAACCCGGTTAAAGCGTAGAATATTGGCTTTTCGTCCTCTGAATTTTGTGAACAACACCCGTGGTGTGAGAAGTTAATGAATGGGACTTTCCTGGTAGAGGTTATATACGCTTGGTCATGTGAGAGCATTTCGAGAAGAAGAGCGGACTCATTCCATTCTCGGCCGTACCAATTTTGCTCTAACCTACCCTTGAAGTCGGGTTGTTTATGAATGAAGCTCAAAGTGGGTGGTAGACCATTTAATGGCATGAAATGTAATAAAATTGGAATGATGACAATTTGTGACAAATTCAAAACCCTTAAATACAATAACACATGACTTATGTACTTCATTCCTAGATAATGACTAAGTTGAGTGACAACCTAATTTCCAGTAATAAGTAGATAACTATTTTTGAACTGTATCTCGGATTTGGGGCCTTCTCTCAAAGGGATTGTTTAACGTTTAATGCACACTACACATTACATGGTATTAAGTAGGTGATAGATGCATAAATCGGGTTTTAATTTTCACCTCAGTTATTATTACCTTTTTTAATTTTACATCATACTATTTGTAAATTATAAGTAGTCTATGTTACCTACCTTGCTATTCTTCAAGTTTACAGGGGGGGGGGGTTGAATTTTCATATTGTTAAGGCTTCAATAAACCTTAGTATATTCCATTTTGCACTTTTGTACAACACCACAAAAGCCGATTTAAGATCAATCTTATGACCTTTTTCAACTATGTTTGACAACAGGGGGATGAAGGATGTTTATCCTCTACTCATATTGGGTCATTTGACTCTAGTTGAAAGCATTGGACGGCAGTTTCGTTCTATTGTGAGACTCCTCAGTGGCAGTGGGCATCCACGACCTCGCCTCTATTTATTTCCGCAACCATTTTGGTACATATTCACACACTCTAATTTTGAGATCACAATTACTTCTTCCTATGTATGTGTGACCACACACACAATTAAATTAGCAAACACAGTGAGGTGTAATGCAATGTTTTTCATGTCTTTTAGGTGTTCGACGAAGAATGAACCGTGTTCTTTCTTTATTAATTACCTTTGCTTCAAAATATGTTTAATGACTGATTTGAACGTTTGTTTCAATAAAAAGCTATTTGAATCACCTCCAAATGGTATGGTGATGTAGGCAGGCTTTTTTTCTTCTGCCAAAGCTACATTAGGTCTCACTATACCATGAACATCCCATCTATTTTTTAATGTAAGTTGATAGGCATTTTCAACTACTAATTTGTCTGTAAGAAGCCACTTATGAATTCTTTCTTATTTTCAGAAGTGGGTT